CGGGAAACGTGGCTAAAAATTACACATAAAAATCCGAAACGTTTCGGCCCAAAACTGAGCCATTTTCAGTTGGAAGAATAAAAGTAAAAGTTAAAAATTCCAAATAGAAACCTACAGACTACATGATGGCTGAGAAAATTATTTCAGAGAGTTGACACTCTCCCATTTCTTCTGAAGCCCCCTGTCGCCACACCCTTTCACTTTCAATTTTTTTGTTCATTCTTTATGAAAATCCTAAAACTTTTGTACATCTAGACAAGTCACTTGTTATTCCATCACTTTTATTTGCTTCGATTATTTGGAGACTTTTCTTGAAAGTGGATGTAGATGAAGTCGCGAGGGCACAGCATTTGTTCCTTAGGAACTAAGAAAGTAGAGTTTTCCGTGCATTGTGATAAAATAATAATTAAATGAAAATGACTGCTGATGACTGCTTTTATTTCCAGAATTTCTTTCAGGCGAAAAGATAGCACATTCCCAGCAGCAGTTCAATACAAACGGATTATTTTTGCTGTATTCGGTCCGCTTAGAATTAGTTTAGCCATCTGACATATTTATCTAATGTAAAAAAGGATTTGAGGAAATTTACCTACAATAACATCTGGAACGAGGCTTGCTCGACCTGGTGCCTGCTTGACCAAGCTTTTCGTTAATTATGTTGAATTTTCCGTCTGATTTGCTTTTGCTTCAACATGAAATAATTATATTAAAGTACCGAAAATTCTGCTCAACTTATGTAAGAAATAAAACTTACGATTCTAAACTGGATAAATTTATCAGCAAGTTTTAGTATCCTCTATCACTAAACTTTCGAAAGGAATCCTGACGTATGCATTTACCGAACTTTTAACCCTTCATACTTTTTTTTTGAAGAGAGAAAAATTGCAGGCGTAGGCATGCAGGCGAATGTCTGCCAGATTTCATGCTTAATCATAAATTATACCAAAGGGGATGAGGTAGAATTTTGGGAAGTTATTGTAAACTTTGACACTTCAATTACTCTTCGGAGGTCCCAACTATGATTTGAATATTTTAGAAAAAGGGACAGGTTATGTGGATCGCATTTAGCAAAAAGGAACCAGCGCAATTACAGTGTTGTTAAAATGTTGCTTCATCATACTTATCTAAAAAGTTTCCCAAAATAGCAAATTGATTTTGCATCTCGACAAAATATTGTTAACTTTAAAGGGGAATAAGTGTGTGAAAATCTTGATACTGTACATATATTTCGTATTTTTAAAAGAAAAAAAGAAGTTGCACGGTTTTGAAAACACTGTAATCACGCTGGTTCCTTTTTGTTAAATGCCATCCATGTATAAATTACAATCTTAGACTAAATTATCGACCATTGAGATAAAATTACAAAGTCTTTAAGGAGTTAAATGATTTTTTTTTTTTTTTTTTTTTTTTTTTTTTTTCCATTTCACCATCTCTGCCTTGATAGCGGAGAGAGCAGTAAGTGCAAAAATGAAGTTTAAAGAAAACGAGCTCAGAAGCTGACCGGAAATCATTTTTGAAAAAAGCCTCCGTTCTTTGTCCAATTGCTATTAATCATCCGAAAGAGTCGTAAAAATCGTTTGGATGATTAAAAATCGACCGATTTTATTTCAATGACATATAAAGGGTATTATTCATTTTCACGTTAGGCTAATGTTAGATAAGACAGCCGTAAGTGCTATCTTCTGCATCATGCTTTCGTGTTTGTGTTTTGAACACAAAACAAACACAATTTTAGGTTAGAAACTGGCAGAAGACGGCGCGCGGCACTTTACTTGAAAGCACTGTCTCCATTGGCTCTCTGGAGGAATAACGTCACTTACGGCTGTTTTGCCTGAAACTTCGTCATTTTTAGCGCATTTACGGCTTTTTCATATGTCTCATATGCGTACAATTAAGATGTATGTTGCTGTTTTAGGTAGTTCAGTGATTTCATCTAAAAGAGCTTGGATAAATTTTGAAGGAAACTCGATTTCGAAAATTTGACACTTACTGCTCTCCTCGCTATCATGGCAGACCTGGCAACAACGAAACTCAATTATCCTTCAATTTAGCGGTTATGCCAACTTGACACCAGCATGTTATGATGTCGATGTAAGTGATATCTTCTTCATGCTTCCATGGTTGCGTTTTAGACTTGCAAAAAACACATTTTCAGGTTAAAAATTAGCAGAAGAGGTTGGCACTTTACTTGAAAGCACTGTTCTCATTGACTCCCAGGAGGAATAATGTAACTTACAGCCGTTTCGCCTCGTAGATACTGCGTATTTGTTTGTGTCCTTACAGTTTCCTCTTGTTTTCATACAATCTATCACTGAAAAAAAATATTGGTAGAATTTACCATTCCTTCACGCTGTATTTCACACAGCGTCAATTTAGAGTCAATTCTGCCAAAAGGAAGGTAGACGACATATACTGGTACAGGTGACCATTCCTCTGGCAGAATCGAGTTTGAATTCACACTGTACTTCATACAGCGTGAAGGAATGGTAAATTCTACCAATATTTTTTTTTCAGATAGATGAGCTTTGCTGTTTAAGCTACTTCAGCGATTCCATCTAAAAGAGATTGGACGAACTTTGAAGGAAACTCGATTTCGAAAATGGAGATGTTAAATGTGTGAGGAATTTGCGATTTGACTATTGATTCTTACGTAAAAGTTCGTGAAAAACATGATGGTGCCACTAGTTTTCTCTGAAATTAACTCCCGAGCTCAAAAAAAGCTCTCAAGTTGAGGCCAAAATGGAGGGGATATCCCACCCTACCCTCAGAGTCCACCTCTACATCAAGACAAACTCTCCATGCAAAGATAGGGAGCAAATACATTAGCAATGATGCCGTGTTTTCAGTTTTAGAGTCCCCAAATAAAGTGGCAACCCTGCTGATGTATTTGCTCCCTATCTTTGCATGGAGAGTTTGTCTTGATGTAGAAGTGGACTCTCAGGGTAGCGTGGGATATCCCCTCCATTTTTGCCTCAACTTGAGAGCTTTTTTTGAGCTTGGGAGTTGAAATCAGAGTAAAACAGTGGCACCATCGTGTTTCTCGCGAACTTTTGCATAAGAATCAACAGTCAAATCGCAAATCCCTCACACATGCAACATCTCCATTGGACACTAACTGCTCTCCTCGCTATCATGGTGGACCTGGCAACAATGCTCCGGTAGACTCGCATTATCTCTCGTCATTATTATACAAATATTTTAATGTGAGTATAAGAAAGAGACAATTTTCCCGTTGGAAGACCGCGCTTTTCGGATTGCTTTTGAAGGCGCGCGAAAGCAGGTTTGAAGTCTTTACGAATGCTCTCCTCCTCTTCCCGCGCGTCTTTGCGTCTCCAGTTTTAAAGAGGACTCTCCTCGCTTTAAACGCAAGCTCTCCGCAGTTTGGTCACAGGAGTTTATTTTTTATCGAAGCGTTGATTTTAAAACCCCTTAGTTTTCCGACGCCAAAAAATACGATTTTATCATTAAGCGTTACACGTTTTGATCTTTTGAAACCAGATCTCGCTTTATCAGATTCTTTTTCCTATTTTTTGACGTAACGATGGGAAATGGAATGTGTGGCCTTATCTAGTAAAATGATAGTGTCTCCATCTATGTACCTCAACTTAATTCAGTTTTATCTACAGCTCCGAGAGGTAAGAACCTCCGCGCAGGGGGCGCCACCGCTGTGTTTTGTTTCGAGAGTTACGCATTAGAGTTCGTACAGCTTGACGTGAGTCCTTCAGCTTATGTGAAGATTACGTGATAGAGATTCGTTGGACAGAACTTTATGCGGGTTAGGAAGATGGGGTGTGCTCGTGGTGAGCTGGATATGAAACAATGTAAAAGTGGGCTTAAGTACTTTTGAAGAATTGGAAAATCGAGATTTTATTTTCAGCAAACGGAACTTTGTGCCAACTGTGTGCGGGACTCATGAGCCGTGGGCATGTCATAAGAGCATTGTGGACAGGGCTCATGAGTTAAAGACTGGGGTGAATCGGATCTTCGTCTACGTCGTCGCTGCTGACGTCACAGGCGCTTTATAATTCCCATTCACTCTTACGACTAACGAGCACACCCCATTTGTCCCATTCGCACATAACTCTGTTTGGTGGAGATACGTCCAAATACGTAGCGCTACGTGGGAATAACATTCATTAAGACTTGGTCTACTGGAGCCTCATCGGATAGTAGGTGCAATGCTAATCCGTGCCAAACGTAGAAGTTCCGAACGAAAATAATGTAAGCAGCAGACAGGCACTCTGAATCCCTCTAGAGCGATGAAAATAAAAAGTTGTAGAGGAGCGCGGAGAAAAGGAAAAGATTGCTTTTATTTTTTGCGATATTTGCCGGAGAGCTTAACAATTCAGTCGAACATTATTCCTTTTCATCGTAAAGTTTCTCTCCTGGCAAACTTTCTCCTTTCTCGTTCTTCCGTCCAATTACCCGACGGAGCACTCCTGAGCACTCAACATTTCATTTAGGCAAATTTTAAGCCCTCAGGTTTTCGTAGCCTTCATACGCAACTCGTAAAATTTATAACGTAAGGTCTCCATTCTCTCGACGGAAGCTCGAAAAACCAACTTTTCACTGTGTCTTCCTGCGGACCGTATATTGAGACGCAATTCAACATTGAAACTTCGTAACCACGTATCTCGTTGCCGCCCCTATATTTTATTTTTTGCAGGAAGAACAAATGGACATCATTCCTTGAAGTTTTCCCAAAATTTGCCTCACGCCAAGAGGGCAAATCAAGGAAATTTTAAGAGATTGACGTTGAGCGGTTCTCCATTTAAAAAACTAAGTATGACAGAAAGTCTGCAACGTCGCAAACCTAGATACGTGGTTTGTGAGTTTCCTGGTCCCCATTCGAATAATTGTACTGTAGTAAAAAATTGTAGTTAATTTATTTATCTTTACTTTCAAATAAATAAAATCGATTGATGGTAGCAAAAAATATATTAGGTAAGAATATAGGTAAAATTAAACGATTAATACAATGAAGCTTTGTGAGAATTAGTAAGAAAATAGGTTCTGAGTCCCGAGTGTGGCTCGACATCTGATTGACTGGGAGGATTGAGTCGCTGGAGGAATGGACGCTGAAGTGTGATTACTCGTTATTTTCAGAAAATCTCTGTTGTCTTTTTCCCTGAAATCGCATTTTCCTTAAATGATTTAAACTTCAACTGGTGGAGCAACCCCCTCCCCTCAAAAAGAAAATTATGCGAGAGTTTCTCGTGAGTCCCTTGTTGCACATTTCTGGAGAACGAGTTTACTGAGTATTATGATGACTTTGTTGAATTACTGATCGTGTTTTTACTGCTAAAGAGGTTTTGCATTCCTTTGAATTTTTTGTCCAAGAAGTCCAATTGAGGTTCTAGCTGAATTATCACCGTGACGTACGTCGCAATGGCGGATAATATCTGAAAAATACCCGCGGTATTAGATTGTAACAGAAACCTTCAAGAGAGGAGCTTTTGGAGGGAATGAATGTTAAGTATTTAAAGGGAAATTAGGCAGGAAAAAGAACAAATACTCTTCAGAAAAATATTTGACCTCTAATAAAGAATGGTAGAGAACAAAGAGGAGAGCGTACAAACGCGAGCTTTCCAGATATCGCTAATTGCATCTAATCTTTAGAAATACAAACATATCTGCGTATCTTGCAAAAAATAAATCAAATGTCTAAAATCGTTACGTCATTTTTGTTTGTTGCACCATTGGATCAGGTTACCAAACGGCAGCATGTTCCAGGATAAAGTGTGAATTAGGAAGAAAATAGATTGTAGAAAGAAGAAAAAAAGTATTTCAAATACCTACTACAATAATGTCTGTTGGGATATCATCAAGGATATGATTAATTAAAAATACTTACAACCGTGATAAGATGACGATTCACTTTAAATAAATCGGAAATAGAAATTTGTATAGGGACTGCCGTCATTTGAATCATCCAGATTCGGAACTAAAAAACAATAATAGAGATAAATCAATAAATATTGTAGGAGTAGCGAAATAAAATATTCTAAAAAAATCAATAGATTGACTTCATTCAAAGACTAAAATAAAAACTGCGAAACGATAAAAAAGATTGATTCTCTTTGTAATTACTTTGCCAAGTCGCAACTTCCAACAAAAATTTCGAAGGACCGTTTCAAAGAGGAACAGTTAAACCATAATGACCCTTGCCGAAGGCTAAGGTATATGAAAATCGACCGCGTTGAGCAGGAAGGAATCAAGTTACATTAAGTATTGCCAAATTTAACCGGGCAATTTAATGCTTTAAATAAAAACAGTTGTTTGGGCAAATGTCAGTGAATTTTCTGTATTGCATAAAGCAAATCCCTTAAAATTTTCAAAAAAATCCGCACAAAGGTTCTCTTGTAAAAAATTAAATCGCCCGGTTAAATTTGGCAATATCAAATGTGGCTTTGTTCCTTTCTGTTAAGTGCGGTCCAAATTTGAGTGTTGGAACGTAGGTAGCTGACTACCTCAGAAATGATGAACGCTTGCCAGCCTCCAAAACATCCGCCTCTCGTTAAAGTAAGGACCTAAACACGTGATACAACTAATTTGACCTCTATGTATAGCTCAAATTGCATAACTACTTGACTGAAGGAGCGCTAGCTTTCTAGCTCTTATTCTCACTCATATTATTCCGTGATTTTCTGTTCTGTTTTTTTTTTTTTCTTTTCAGGGGGGGATTCAAGCCTTTGTTTTGTCATTGTTCATGGTGCCCAGATGCGATTAGACGCATCAATCTATAAAAAGATAAATTCAGTTTCAAAAGTAGCGAAGCGTGAATTAGGCATAAAAACGAGATCAGCCTTGTGTACCTGTTTTTGATTTCTCAGTGAGAGAGACGTCAAAGGAATCCTTCGCATTGAGCCTAGTACCGCTTTACTCTAGAAAAAGAAACAATATATTTCCTCTAAAAAAGTTGTGTATTTAAAGTAATAGAACCCTAAAGGAGGAAGTATTGGCTAAAAATTGAATTACAAATTTTAATTGAGAACCAAAATACCTATGTAATCTCATCTTCAATATTCAAAATAAATTTGATACGGTTCACTATTCAACACAAATTCTTTTGTTATAGTTTGGAACATGTGTGATACGACGGGATATCGCTTTTTGTATTTATTAAAATGTATTTCCAAAAAGCTCAGAACTTCAATATTAAACCCTTCCTCGAACACTGACCAAACTCTGAATATTTTTGCCATACATTCCTTTTTCACCAAAAAAGAACACTTTCATACCCTTAATAAACCACTCCAATTTCTACAGTGCCAGTTTTAATGAGACAAAGCGAACTTTTGGGGAAAAGAAAAGTGAAGCAATGACGTGGCGTGAATGATCGATAATCGATGTTTCCCCATTTAAAGGTACGGTGACGAATCGATTATTGAGATATTCGATGCAAACAACCTGTTCAACGATCCTTCCCCATCCGTTTAAATGGCAAAAGCATAAATATTTTTATCACTGTACTACCGTGCTGAGGAAAAACGCCGTATGAGCCTTCAGACGTTGCCAAGTTTCCTCCGTTTAAAACTGCAATTACTGGGAAAATTGTGAACATTATTTTCTCAAATTTTCAGACAATTTTGTACACAATTTAATCTAAAATATCTGAAAATTTCAAGGAAAAATATGCATGAATTTTGTCAAAAATACAGGTTTTTTTCTAGGGAAACTTGGCAACTCCCGAATGTTCATACGGCGTTCTTCCTCAGCACGGCAGTGTAGTGCCTAATTGGAAAATGGGGTCGGATCAGGGCTTCACACTGGCAAGGAGGAGCTCGCTGCTGGAGGAGATGGCGTAGATGAGGCCGATGCAGGCGAGGGTGTTGGGGAGGTCGCCGGTGAGGCTGAAGCGGCCGAAGACGACGGTGCAGCGGTAGGAGATGAGGATCGTCTCCAGGGTGAGGAAGCCGAGGCAGATGAGGATCCGGAGGCTGCACCAGTCCAAGAGCAGATCCGCGCAGACGCAGAGCTCCCCGTAGAGCAGACGCAGCACCTCGATGTCCGACTCCCGGATGGGCTCGTTCGACTCCAGCGACCGCGCCAGCTCCGCGTCCACGGCCAGGAACCGGAGCTTCAGGATGTGCAACGTCACGATGAAGAGCAATGGCGAGAGTAACCTACCGATTAAACCCGAGGGTGAAAATATTTCAACTCTGAAAAAACGTATTTTCGTTGATGATCGGTCGAGCCAAAATGCCGCGATAATGGCGGCGAGATCATAATCGGGTTGGTAAACATTTGAGGTTAGACTTGCGATCGGATGCCATCATCTTCATCAGGTCATTTCTAAACCTTACTTTTTGTAGGATTATATTTTGGCTCCAACGTTTGCAAGAATTTCACCTTCTATCCGTCTGGTGAGTCCCGATGTTGTTCCGAAAAATTATGATCGCGTAAAAACAAATTACCAAACCGCTTGATCCACCCAATTTGGTTTGACCGATCATCAACGAAAATACGCTTTTAAAAAAACTCCGGCTGTGGAAGCCGTACTAACGGGTGTTATAGACTTGCCGTCCGCGTTCCGGAAAAACTTTTAGGATCCCACCATATTTCCTCTGCCCCTTGTGTCTATTGCTTTGTCTGTCACTGTCAATAAACAGCCGCTGGAGGCTCCCGCCCCGCCCCTGGCATGTCGTCAACCTGGCCGAAAGTTCTGGGTGTAGCACCCGGAGCAGTTGAAACTACGGCTCCAGTACCTGGTACTTTCGGCCTCTGAGCCCGGAACGGACGGGATGTCTACATAGCCCGTAATTATTTTTCAGTGAAGCAAAGGTACCAGTAGTTTTTCTTGGGTTTCTACGGAAGAAGCCTCATTCCAGGTTGACAACCTGCCAGGGGCGGGCGGGGCGAGAGCCTCCAGCTGCTGACTATTGACAGTGACAGACGAAGCAATAGACATAAGGGGCAGAGGGAATATGGTGCGATCCTAAAGGTTTTTCGAGGATGGAAAGACCATACAAAAGCAACTCTCTATTGGTAACAATATAAATTAAAGACCTGAAATGCTTTCCAACGTGTATTATACGGTTGTTTTCAATTCGCCTCCAGCTGCGTCCGCAGCAATTGTTGTTATGAATATGTTGTGCGTGCTGATCTCAGCTCATTACATACTTGACTCTCTGAAGGCGTTTTATGTGTGAAAGTGGGGCACCCTGTTGGAGAACAACAGAATTGAGATTGAATGAATCGCTCAATCCCTATTTCGTTTGTTCTCCAACAGATTGCGCCACTTGCGCACATGAAACGCCTTCAAAGAGTCGAGTATGTAATGATCTGAAATCAGCACGCACAACATATTTTTAACAACAATTGATGCAGACGAAGCAGAAGGCGATTTGTTCAAGGTAAAAAAAAGTACGATAGGAAGTTTGCATACAATGAAAGGGCATGTATTCGATTGACATGAATCGAACAAAAAATTAAAAAAGTATGAGTCGATCGACACCGATTCAATGGAAAAATAACTAAAAAACCAGATCAAAATTGGTGGAAAATTTGCACTTCCTATGATCATTTCAAATTCCGATTTTTCGAAAATAAGATCAGCCAAGATTTTGATTTTTCGCGATTTTAAATCTACATGTAGCACAGATTTATCCACTGCAAACCGTTTTTGGGTACATTTTTGTTGCATTTTCTTTTTTGCTTCAAGACCACCGTGTCAGGAAGGCAGCTGTATACTATGTATTCCGATGACATAGTACAAGACAACTTAGCACCTTCAAACTTCCTATAAAAGTTCCCTAGATTATGAAGAAATTACTCACAAAATGTTAAGTTTCAATTACTCAGTTTTCTGCATGTTTGAGAGGTAAAACTTGGAAAAAAATTGGGAACGTTTGATAATGTAGTTAGACTGTTTCCAGTTAAAGCCGTCCAACTTTTACGCTAAAAATTGAATTTTTGGAAATTTCACTCACCTTGGCATCGTATATATGACGGAAACTGAGACAAGTAAGGCATAGTTCATCGAAAATCTCTTGGAAAAAGCAAAGATGGACATTGCTTGGGTGGCAATGTTGAAAGCGTAACAGGCCGCCAAACAGGCGTAGTAAGAGTACTCGTACTTCCGCTTGTCGAAATCAAACCGAATTTTCCGGTACTCCCAGAACTTGTATTCAACTTGCTCCGATTTTCGAATGAATTCGATGAAGAACCGGTTGCAAACTTGTGAGCTTATGAAGTAGATCCACGTGCGAACGAGATATATGACGCCCATGTAAATGAACTAAAATGAGACAAGTATGAGAAAATCACGCAAGAGACTACTAAAATGCGATGCCTCTACTACTATGGACTAATGACGATAAATTCGATCAAAGTATAATCGATATTGCAGTATAATATAGTAAGTATATAAGTATAATAGTAGAAATAATACGTAAATAAGTATAAATAATTGAGCATAAAGATTAAATTATGGCGAGATTTGTAATTCAATTTAATGTTGAGTAATCACCCGCGAGCGGGTGCGCTCATTGCGGCGTTGCTGCCTCCCCCTCTCCCTCTGTACAATGTACCTTGTAATCTAATTTTTACATTTAAAATCAATTCAACTTGTTTCATTTCGGACAGTGTAAGAGCTATAATGACCCGCACTGGGGAAAAAAACACATTGGATCTGAGTCCAGACTCTTAAAAACATCGACAAGAAAAAATACCTACTCTTGATTCAATCGAAGTTTTCACTGAAAAAACATATTGCTGAAATTGCCGTACACGCGGGTATTTCATGGCATGGTGTAGCTAAAAAACGAACGTGCAAACCATGCAGGTAAAATCTCTGCACAAATTTCAGCTAACTTACACACACGCGAGTAGATAATTTTGCTCTCTGAAAAGCTACGTCTGTTACCTTTTTAGTTATTCTTCCGTAAATTTCGCTATTTTTCCGTAAATTCCGCTATTTCAGCCTAACTATTGAGCTATTTTTACTGTTCGCAAAGTACCAATACCAAAAAATGCTGTTACACTTCCAAGCCACTCGATGCAAGATTAACTGCATGAAGGCGCGCAGATGTAGCAAATCGGTGTAGCAATTCGTGCTAGTCGTTCACTTGATTCAACACCGTGCACGGATAAGAAAGCTTTACGAAATGAAGTAAATTTTGCTCCACCCTAAATCGGTGAATTAGCAATCATTTTTTTTCAGTGTCGCTGAAATCAAGAACCAAGCCTCTTAATTTGAGCGGATTTCCTTTTGATTTAAGCAAAAATCTGATTGAATCATGAGTATTTTTTCTTTTCAATGTTTTCAAGAGTCTGGACTCTAGATCCAATGTGTCTTTTTTTCCAGTGCGAGCAAACCTAAAACGGAATAGTTATCTACGATGCTCTCTCGATCAAACACAAGTTTTGGATAGTTTCATGGTGCCATTCGATCAGTTTCATCAATTTTGAAAGCCAAATGTAAGACACTATTTACCGTCTTCGGTCTGAAGTCGGTTAGGAAACTTACCTGCGGTCTGGCGGAGATACAATACATAGATATGACAGAGGCAACCGTGTAGAGTACATAGCCCCATGCGAAGTGGAGACTCAAGTACGCGAACCGAATATCCTCGCCTCGATGAGAAAATACGTTTTTGAAAGGGAAAGTCCCGTGCACGAAGCAGATGATCGCTGGAATGCGGATGAATCGATAGAAAGAGCCATTATAACCCGAGATATCGCCTTTGCGCTTCATTTTCCTGAATTCCTTGGATGGGCTGTAAAACACCGTGTTAGACTCTCGAGTAGCTCCGTTGCTGCTCTTCATGATTTAATTGGCACGCTCTGGGGGAAAAAAAAAAAAAAAACACATTGGATCTAGAGTCCAGACTCTTGAAAACATTGACAAGAAAAAATACTCCTGATTCAATCGGATTTTTGCTTGAATCAAAACGAAATCCGCTTAAATTGAGAAGCTATTGGTTCTTGATTTAAGCTACATTCTGATTGAATCAAGAGTAAATTTTCTTGTCGATGTTTTTAAGAGTCTGGACTCTATATCCAATGCGATTTTTTTCTCAGTGCGATGGACCCGCATTATTAAGGTGTTCGTTTCGAACGTCCTGTTTATCGATCCTTTTCCGTAGGTTTAAATAGCGGATCAATCAAATATTAGCAAAATGAGTTTCTCCGTAAATATTTAGTTAGGTAGCAGCCACCCGTCGTCATCAACTTTTTTATTTTGGTCGTCAACTATTTCGGGGAAGTTTTTTAGGATTGAGCCGGGGTGGCTTGGCTACCGCCACCTAGAATACGCCACACCACTGATTGAGAGATAATTTCGGAGTCGCACACTAAGAAAAACTTTCCGGTCATAATGAACAGTTTGTATACCCTCGCCGTTGGCGTACTTCACGTTCAAGCAAACTATCTCCTTCTACGGTTATAGGACATTTCGTCAACGATTTTTTGTCAGCGCACCTGTTTTTTTCAGTAATTTACGTCCACGCGTTTTTTCGGCACGGGAGTTTTAGTCCTCGTGCCAGTTGAGACCCAAAGTTAATTGCTCACGACGTTTTTGGATGAAAATATATAATGTCTTGGAAGAATGAGGGTTTGCGTGTTTTGTTTTGTTTTGTCTGTTTGGTTCAACGGAGAATAATATATAGTTGAGAGTTTTGGTAAAAATGGGGAAGCGTCAATTCCACGATACAAAATTCATTAAAACTCTCTACCCCTCTTTGGTGTAGCAGGACTTAAATATCTTTCAAGAAATTCCCACCTTATTATACCTGAACCGGATAAACCTCTTTATTTGCCTCAGCTAAAAGCTCTTAGATTTTTCCTGTGTACGATAAGTATCTTGATTTATTTTGCGAGGAAAGATCTGTACTTTTAAAGGATGCCTGTCATTCTTAATACGTTCAATTTCGTATAATACAGTGCAACACCTGTGTTGTGAAATAGTTGCTTCAGGCGCCGCCGCACGGCGGGCGGGTGGCCAGCGCGAAACGCGCATTATTGGCGCCTACAAACCTAAGTGGATACTTCAAGCATTGTGCAATGCGTGAAGTGTCCACTTAGGTTTGTAGGCGCCAGTGTGCCTCTCGCGCTGGCAGCACGCCGTTCCGCTCTGTTAGGCTTTAATATTTATACTCGCATAGTCAGCGTTTTTTAACTCATGATTTTGAAATTTTAGCACACTTTGCATTGATTATTCTATTTAAATTGATGGGGAAAAAATATGTATCANTTTTTTTTTTTTTTTTTTTTTTTTTTTTTTTTTTTTTTTTTTTTTTTTTTTTTTTTTTTTTTTAAATGTTGGTGGTTCCGTGTCAAATTTAATGATTTCCAAAGCACTGTAATTTTTTCTTTTACATTTCGTGCTTTTATTGTGCTGCAGCGAGGTGTACGAGCAACCAAACGCTCAAAATTTGACGTATTTGACTCTAAAGATCGATGTACAAATGGGTTAAAACTAAAGATTGCGTGCTTCTTGGTTTTTTTTCCCCCTTTTATTCATTTTTGCAGTTTCTGTCGGCACAACTGCGGCTTATTGAGATTAATGTCGCTTGGAAAAGGTTTTACAAATATTTGTCACGTTTTAAAAGTATAAATGTTTTCAAAACGAAGTAATAATTTCGTAAAGAAAAAATAAAAAAAAGTACCCATACATATATAAGGTATATTGTACATTCAATATTTTAAGAATAGAAATAAAACTAAATATTCACCAATGACAATTTAAAAAGATGATTCAAAAGGAGAAAGTAATAACATTTCATTTAGAAAATGAGCAACCATAACAACACCTCCTTCTCCCTCAATTTCTCATTTCCATATTGTCAATATAATTTTACGTACCGACTAAAATATAACGCTTGAACCTTTTCACTTTTGCTTATTTTACGTGTGAGCGTAAACTACTGGACAAAAAAGGTGCGCGGACAAAAAATCGTTGACAAAATATCCTGAAACCCCTTTCTACAGCTCGGTTATATTAACTGAAATTCATTTTCATACAAATACGATTGTGCAACAGGAAAAAAACACAATTTAAAGTATGATATACCACTAGAGGTTTCCAAAATCTCAAATTGAGAGGCAAGTGTGATTTTCGTTCGTAGATGTTCCTGATTGGCGGTAGATAATGCGAAGGCTTGTTTGCTCTCCTGTCGGAGAAGCGCCGTTGGAAATTTCATGAAGAAAAATGCTAGAATTTACCATAACTTTATACAGCTGCGCTTGCCTCCATTAGATTCCGCGTCTATCAAAATGAACTCTAGTCTAGCCGAGGACGGAATCGAATTCACAAGCACGTAAACGAAGAATGGGGGAAAATTGTCACAATCATGGCAAACGCTTTTTTCCATCAGAAATACAGACCGTTTGCAGGAGACTAGATTGCCCCCAGCCTAACGATTACGTTTGTTCGGCTGGTTTCAGTATTCTACCGCTGAGAGCGCTGTAATCGGCTCAAATCAAATCTCCCTATTTCGTTCACGAGAATAACTCCATGTCCGATGAATCGAGAAGCGATATATATCGCGATGTGTACACATTGCGCAAGTCCCTTTTGAATACGTGGAAAGGTACACCATGAATCCCTATTTGATTTGAGATAAACGCGTGTTGATGGTCAAGGAAGATACGACTCGGGGCACCGCTTTGTGAGGAGATCAACTTCAGAATGTAGGTCAGGAATGGGCACGCCGACCGTCATGTTTCAAACGCTTCCTTTCATTTCTATCTCACCATCTTTCGTTTATTTTGCGCCTTTGGTTTCTGACAGGCCTTGTTGCTGCAAAAGCCTCTGCAAAGCGGGGTGGCCTCATCACATCACCATTACCGCTGGGCCGTTTTCGCAAATTGAAATGCGTGCTTACATATGCACGTTGTGTTTCTTTTTCAGGGCACAAAGGGATTGCGAGGGGCATCCGTGACCCAGGAAGCGAATTCTGTTGAAGATGTGCGATGTGAAGTGGGTTGACACTGTGACCGTATTTTTCACTCGAGCGGGTTGGCGTGGATCCTCATCTCCTCATTTCATTGCGTTCGAGATGAAATAGGGTTACTTGCCCTCATTGCAACCATCTTTTTTTATTGGTCTTGGTGATTTCATCGATCGTTTCAAAAAATTTTGGACTTCATTTAAAAAAGGAGTAAAGTGAGTTGAAATATGACTCATACACGGAAGAAAAGTCGCATGTAGATTACACTCGGCCTTAATCTCTGAAATCACAGGGGGTTTTGGATGAGATGAGGGAGTGCCAACTCCCTGATGACTTCTGGGAGGACCGCGTTTTGTGGCGGTTAGGCGTCGCAGAGCGCCAGAGAGCGCTGTGAGAGCAACTCTTATGTATGTAATGACCCTAATCCGATGCTCATTGAAGATTGCAGAATCCCCAAATGGATTAAATACCTCAAATACCTTTAAAAAAATACACGATACCAACTATACTCCTAGCTGATTTTGGCATCAAAATTAGAGTTGTTGCACAAACCAGAGGTACGGATAAGTCAGCTGAATTGACCAACCATGCTTCCGGCTGTGGTGCCCTCACCAGGCATTTGAGGCGCCTCATGAGGTTATGCTGTACAGCATCGACTCGTAGCTTCAGCATCAATGCCGTATGCCCAGGTAGCGGCCGTTCGGGCATACGGCTCCGAGCCTGATGCGCTCAACCTGCCGGCCGCCGGCTTCGGGCATTGAAGCCCGATGCTGGAGAGCCGACCGAGCCAGCCCCAAGCGCTGATGCTGAGGTTTGATGCTGGCTCAGGGACCAACATGGGCCTCAGCCTCTGAGGCCGGACCGTCGGCTTGCGGCCCGATACGGCCTCAATTTTCGGACCCGCCACCCAGCTTAATTACCGACGGGGCTGTCCCAGAAGACCGCGACCCTCGGACTCGGCGATGAATTCGCGGAACACCCCTTTGTTTACGTTTCCCATAGGCGCGGTGGCCCACGCCGGGGCGCTGGCGTCCGACGCGTCTGCTAATTGAAGCCGCTAATTTTGATGCTGGACTCAGCATCAAAACTGATGCAGCATCAGAAAAGGAGCCGGGAGTCGGCTTCACCAGGTGAAGCCGCCTCAACGGCATATGCGCTCCCCCGGCGCACTGATCGAAGCGGCATGAAAGTCCGCGCCGGGCCTCCGCCTCGCGCGCCGATGCGGCTCCGTTTATGATGCTCCCTCAAACCTCAGCTCTAAATCCCTGGCCCTCACAGTCAACATAAGTATAGATGAATTAATTATACCGCTGGCTGGTGCCTTCACACTTCTAACTAGTGCAACTACTCCTATGGCTGGCACCAAAATCAGTTGAAAGTATACTTGAGATTGTGATACTTTTTTTTTCAGTGTATAATTTGTGCTGTGACTATTCACATGAAGACAAATCAAAAAATTCTACGATGACTCGATTGGCTCTTATCTCTGTGCTGCAGTAAGATCTGGATTGCATTTTGCAAGAAGGAACCAAGAGCCTTCCAATGTCGCTACGATTGTGCAAATTGTTTTACCTTACAAATATCAGCTGATCATCTGTGCAAGTTTCACCTTTACTCAGGGCCGGATGAAGGGGGTGGCCACATGGGTAGCGGCCCATGGCGGCAAATTTGGGGCGGCTTTTGCAATTTTTTTAAGTGTAGGTATAAAAAAATCGGATTCAGAAAAAAAATTATCAATAAAAAAAGGGGACAAAATCTCTCTTTCCTGAGAGTATAGTAATTTCTAATTTTGTCGTTTTTCGGTGATACAAGAGACAGCATCTTTAATTAGTCAAGTTGAGAGAGGAACTAAACACGCAATTCAGCCTGGAGCTCAGCGCAGAGAGGAATGATGACGAGAACTTGAGATGAAAAGGACAAGCCCTCGACGGCGGTCGACATGTAACACATATTAGCACCTACAAGACTGCATGAATACTTCACGCATTGCGCCAAACACAGTGCGATCAGCCCGGCGCAGCGGTGGAAGTTAAAATTATTAAACCACATTCATGTATGTTCTTTCATAATATTTTGGTTCATTTCTTATAAATGGAGGACCTTGTCCACACAGAGATATGTTTACGAAACTTAACTTTCGGGCAAAGTTCCGTGAAATTTTGCTGGTAGTGTTGACAGAACTTTCGCAAAAAATGTATCAAACACGAGTACGTAAACACGTCTTATGCATCCCTCCCCCTCTGGCACGTTTACTTGATGGTTTTTATTGATGTTTCAAAAAGAATGAGAAGGGGGCGGCAAAATACAGGCGGACCATGGGTGGCAAGTGGGTAAATCCGGCCCTGCCTTTACTTCCGATAATCCACAAATTCAAGACAAAAACCATTGTAAATTCAATTTTTTGCATGATTTCAGAAATTTTATTTCAAAGAATGTAGGTTGCACAATCTTTGCTACATTGAAATTCTCTTGGTTCCTTTTTTGCAGAATGCAATCAGTCTGTGTTTCTCAACTCGAGTCCTTAGTTTCCTGTAAGGCTCGGTTTCTGTAAAATCTGAACGATCTGGTACTATTGTAAATTTAATGTTTTGCATGATTTGAGAAATTTTATTTCAAAAAATGTAGGTTGCACAATCTTAGCTACATTGAAATGCTCTTGGTTCCTTTTTGCAAAATGCAATCCATCTGTGTTTCTCGACTCGAGTCTTTAGTTTTCTATAAGGCTCGGTTTCCGTAAAATCTGAACGATCTGGTGGAAGCAGCGCTGCCGTCAGGCGTCGGGTTGTTTTCGAGGAGGTCGGTCCGGATGCAGTCGGTCATTTTCATTCCGCGTCGAAACTCCCGAAACCTGAACGAGCCGGGGCCGAAGAAACTTTTCCCGGGAACTTGTTCGAGGGTATAATTTCTGACGGTCGAATTCCCTGGAAAATGGAATATCCGCTCGGCTGCGTTAACGAGACAATCAGAGACTTTTGTGACGGGATAAAACTCGACTCGGCTCGAGTCAAACGATACAAATTCGCTCCGAAAATCAACGAAATTGCCAGACTTCGCAAAAAACTACAGTCAGTTGAATCAGTGAGAACGAAAACACACCAACTCGAAAAAATGAAAATAATATCAAGACACGTGCATAACTGCACAGTAGTTGAAGAAGTTACCACAAGAAAAAGATTTTTGACAGGTACTTATGAACACTTTATAGGTCCAAGTTGGAACAGATGCGTTAACTTCATTGAAAATTTATGAAAAATGACTCTCTTTAATGAAAATTGAACTTGTCTAAGTTCCGAGTTGGTGTGTTTTCATTCTCATTGATTCAGTTATGTTCTCAGCTCAACGATTGACCGATCTCGAGGCATTCGATATATCGGTTCTTACACTTCTTACAGTCAGGAAATGAGTTAACCTAATTGCAACATTGTAAATCCATGCCCATCTGTATTTTTTTAAAAGCAAATCAACTTAAATATTTTCTTATTTCATTCAAAAGCATGAAAATAATAGTGTTGTGTCAGTAGTGCTATTCGATTGCGATTGCTTGACGACTCGTAATCTATGACTGTAGATTGTCGAAAAGGCTAAAAAGTTTTTGTAGGATGAAAATTTAAAAAAGCAACGCCCATAGTAATGGCTACATTAATCTATTGTTTAAACGGCTCCAACCAGAATGTAGGTAACTAAGTTCCACGTTGCTTGATTCTCTCTCCCTATTGTTTTTTTTTTTTTTTTTTGGGGGGGGGGGTGGAGGTTGGACCTGACGGCTGAACTTGAAACTTTCTGTAAATCTCTCTGAGATTATGAAAAACACACTTACATAAAAGCAGAATAGTTTAACATTGTCTTAGAGGAAAAAAACAAGACATGGAATTAAGAAACGTGTTTTGGGGTTAAGCCAATTGAGGGGCTTGGATGACAAGGTGCATAAGTGTAATTTTTGCTAGTGCGAGAAATACGTGTTTGAAGTTTTGAAATTATATGGATATTTATGGCGGAAAGAAAGTTCAAACTGACTTTTTGGTGCTAAAAAATTGGAATTTGGGAGCTAATTTTTCACAGAATATGCGTTCAGACTAGTTTTACTTGAAATCATTTATATCTCAATTTCTTCAAAAACTGCACTTATGCGCCTTGTCCTCCAAATCCCTCAATTCTTGTCAACGCTATGCTCATGCGTATAAACAGATAGTGCCGGTTCTAGTGTGTGTAAAATAAAAAATTTAAAAAAAACGATAAAAAATTAGACAACTACGCGAAACCCTGGTGAAAAGTCACAAATCCGTAATCTGTCGAACGTATAACGAGGAGGACAATGATGGTACTTGGAACCGGGGGGAGGGAGAGGGAGGTAGTCGCGGAAGACAATAACGGCGTAATGGAACGGGGAGCATAAAACACGGACCAAAAAGTTGTCAATTCGAG